CCCCGGTTTCCCTCTCGCCGGTTGAGTCGGCGCCGTGGGATCAGTGAGAACATTCACCACGACGCCGCCCGGGGCTTCGTCAGCCCTGCCAAACCGCCGCGACGGCACCCATCTAAGTAGGACAACCGGATGGCAACACATTGCTGACAACGCTCTGTAACTTCTATATATTACATATTTTAGGTTAGAAGAGGTTGATTGCAATTTTGAATTCCATGTAGTTAGGTTGGTATCAGAAATAAAGATTTTTTTATATCAAAGCTCATCTCAGTCACTCAATTCCTGCGCAAATAGTCCCGACGCGCTGCGGAAGCGAGTCAGGGTCATCAGTTTAGCCGACGGAATGTAGGCCCTACAAATATTCCTTCCGGCTTGGTTAATCGGACCAGGGACCTAGGCTTTTCAGACCAGCATGGTAAAAAAAATTAAGTAACTTCTTAATTACGTGAAATAAACTGCTCGCAACAGTCACGATAATAAGAAGTTTGTGAAAAGCACCCAATCCACGCATATTGAAAATCATAGGTCGCCTGAAGTTCATCACAAGTTGTTGTGCGTGTTTCCTGAAACCAAAACAAGAAACATTAGATTAGAGATGGAAAAAAATACTATTTAACTTTTAACTGCCTCCGTGGTCGAACGGTTACCGGTGACTGCCACCCAGAGGTCCCAGGTTTGATTCCCGGGCCGGGAGAAATATTTGTACTCGTGAGTTTCGGTGTAACTTGTGGTTGTCTATTTGTGTGTCCATGGCACAGAGTTTGCAGAGCGTGCTCATAAAAGCTCTTTTCTCAAACATGCTCGGAAATGTTTGCATTACTTTCAAAACACGAACACGGAAAGTTTCTCATTTATGGACCATGCGACTTCCCGGCCAAGGCCTGCAATGTAAGTATGAAAATCGATTACTGTCCTCTTCTTGAAACTTTTAAATCTACCTACCTACTAATAATTAACTATGTAAACAGGTAAAAGAAAAACTCATACAGCCAACTGCCCAGTGTTCATAATTGCGAGAATTAAAAAAAATGGCGGTAACATTGAGAGTGTTGTATTCTTTTGAGTTTTCGTCTTTTTAGTATTTTGCTCGCGGACGTGGTGGTAGTGAAAAGAGCGATATCGAAAATACAGTAATAGATACACCCTTAGAATAATAACGCATAGAATGATAGTTTCATATCAAACGAACTGTCACAAGTGAGGCAAAAATCAAATTTATGTAGGCTAGTTTTAGTAGTAGGTTAATTTTCGGTTTTAGTGAATATTTATATAAAAATACAAGTTGAAACGCGTTACTTCCTTGTGGAATGTGATGTTAGTATCTATTTTATGTTTGTCTGACGTATTTTTACACTCGTTTACCGCACATTTCGTCATTTTTAGCTAAAATTCTTGATCTGTTCGCGGTGCAAGTTGACCTTGAGCACCGAAGGCCCACCCGCTCGTGTAGGCCCTTTTGGCGCCCTTCAATTTGCCTCACTTAGCGTGTGCGGACTAGGTTTCTATGCATTATTATTCTAAGGATACACATTCAAACACATCATCAGAAGATCCATAGACTAATATTAATGTGCCTGGAAAAACAATAACACTTTCTTTTTGCAATTGTCCTAACACGTCAAATATTACTTTTAATATTAATTAATATTTTTTTACTTTTTTTATTAGACATTTTCCTCTCTTTAGTATTTTATTATTTTCTCACATTGTTTGAGAAAAATTCTATACATGCCTCGGTGGGAATGGGGATTCCTTGACTTGTATTAATACAAAGCCTTTTAACTCAGGTTCGTCGAGCAATCCCTTACTTCCCGGCCTCTGCAATAATATACTTTTTCACATCAGCGTAAAACACACATGGGCGCGGCTTGCGTTGAGTTGTTTAGTTGAATCAACGCTTACGCTTAAAATTATAAGCGTGTTTATGTGCTTATATTAAAAAGCAAATTTTTTAAAGTGCTTTTTGTTTAAACGCCGTTTTAGATTGTTTCAAACAGGTTTAATACAATCATCGCGTATCACCAGAAATAGACACGAAATGTCATTTAATTTGTTTGAAAACTATTCTGCCAAATCATTACTGTGACAACTGCGCTTGGCCAGCCCGAATTCGAAACAATTGACGGGTGTCGATGTCGTCAATTGTTTCACTTCAAATCGACCAGTTTAACTTGAGCTTTGTTATAATGGACGACAATTGCAAAATTAATTATGACAAATTGTATGTGAAATTGTCAAATTTACTACCTAAAGATCAATAATAATAATTTATTTACTTCAGACAATATTTAAGGTCCATATTAGAGCTTATCCTATATTAATACTTAATAACTAACAATGAAATTGGCCTCTGCGCGAGTGTGTACATCATCGGGCAATCAGGTCTATCAGCTATCGCTTTCAGGATGCCGTTACAGCTCAATAGGAACTAATATAATATAATCTAAATAGCAATGTCAATAGGAACTAAAATACAATAAACTGCAATTTGCAACATCCCATAGCAAATTTGTAGCAGTAGAGCTCCTTGTGTAAGAGTTCGTCCAGGATAGGACTGCCACCTTACTTATTTCAGCCGCCAAGTAGTAGTAACAGCATTCCTTTATTCCGGTTTTGAAGGGCAAGGGTGCTGGTGAAATTACAGGCACATGGGACTTGTCAACTTATGTCTCAGGGTGACGGGCGCAGTGGGAGTGCCTCCCAGATCTTTGCGATTTTTTACGAACTAATTTTTCTGTAATGTTGCGGTCTCAATGTTTGTAGTTGTTTCCGATTTCCATAAGACAAATGCTTTATTCACTTACTGTGGGATCAGAGCAACGTATGTCAGTTTGTCTAATATTCATTTATTTATAATAACTCTAGAACTGAGCTGTCTCGCAATAGACTGATAATTTTTAATACTATTTTAAAACTTACCTTAACACAATTAAGCGAACTGGAAATAGAAAAACTACAATGATCAGTAAATGTGGTCCGAACCAGGCGATCAATGTGTATTCAATCACTGAAAAAATAAAACAACAAATTATAACATTTTTATAAAATAAAATCGAACTTAAAAGTTTGTGGAATTACATGCATTTGCCATGTTTTATTGAAATCGGTTAACGGAAAGTGAGTGAAATCCAATAACACGGATTCATCCCCTAATTTAAAATTGAGAATATCGTGAGTGTGTGTAAAGGTAGACGATTGTGACGATGTGGAACCGCTCTTTAGCTGCTTATAGATTGGACTGCAAGTCTGCGGTTAATGCAGTTGAGACTTAAACTAGGTGCATAATAAATAACCAAACTAATAGTTACACACCGCATATTATATTATGCCACCGTACTCACATAAAAAATTGAACCATTTCATGACGTCTTTTTCTGTAAGTACTTTCAATTTAAATTCTCGCTCCCATTCTGGCGCGTTGTCAAATTTGTGTTTTTCCGAAGTATAATCTGTATAATTGCTGTAAAAGAGGAAAATTGATCTCAGCCTCCTACAATATTGTTAGGAGAAGTTTTATAGCGAACACACAACTTTAAGTTAACATCTGTATATATTGATATACATTGGCTACCCTGCCCGTAGAAGAGAACATTGGTGGTTATTTAGATGTTGGGTACCTGCAGGTACTGTTGAGTGAAACGTTGAAAGTTTGAAACAGAATGAATTTACTGACAAATGTCACTTAATCTAAAAGCGCTGAATAGTATAATAAAAGTGTTGAATACACAATCAACAAATCAGAGGGCCTGCATTATTGCAAGAGCGAGACAGATGTATTACTATCTCGCTGTGCAAAATGACCGTGCAGTAGGAATTTAAGGTTGAAATATATATCCATATACAGGGTGACAGGTAGAACGCGATAAATATTTAAAGAGGCAAACGAGTAGCTGATTTCTAATCCAAATATTTAAAAAAAAATCGCCCTTAACAATAAGAAAAAAGAATATCGTGTCATTTCACAAATAAATAAATAAATAAATAACGCACACACTCAACATAGCCCCGCACTAGGGAAACCCTGTGTCGCGGGTGCCATGGACACACACATAGACAACCACAAATTACACCCAAACTCACGAGATAAATAATTTGTAGGCCATACAACTATTTCTCCCGGCCCGGGAATCGAACCTGGGACCTCTGCGTGGCAGTCCGGCATGGTATCCGTTCGGCTACGAATACTGACACATTCTTCATTTGGGCTACTCTATGAAACGGTTGAAAGAAATTAAACTCCCGCGCGGCGCTACGAGCGCTTGTTAATCCTTCCTACTTACTTAAAGAATACTTTTTGTGACCACGACTTACATGTTTAGTTATAAGTACTGTAAGTGTAAGTTGTACAAAATAAATAAATTAAAGTATTTAAAGAATGGTAGTACAAAAGTAAGGTTATTTTTCATGTACACATCTATGACTTGTCTACGGTTGCATAGTGCATTATGAAAAAAATAAACATTCTGGTCATTCAACGAACGAACGAGTATCTAAGTGTACAGATTTGAAGGAGGATTTAAAATTCAAGATTTTGATTTTTAAATCACCACCAACAGGATTCTTAAGGTGGTAGCAGAGAGGATGGACAGCCCAAAAAAACTTAGGGTCGTTCCAGAACTGTATTCAATGCTCAAGTCAGGATTTGAGCAGACTTGAGTATGATTTGAAGCACTAGAAATACGACCCTAATGGCAAGGACTTGATTATGATTTCTAGTGCTTTGAATCATACTCAAGTCCTGACTTGAGCTTTGAGTAGAGGTCTAGAATACGACCTTAAATATTGGATGTCCATCCTTGTTCATGAAAATGAACACTTTGCTTTCTACTAACATAGTTGTAAGTACCTACTAACACCATATTCATTCATTTTTTTAACTGCCTTAGTGGCCGAACGGTTACAATGCCGGACTGGGACGCAGAGATCCCAGGTTTGATTCCCGGGCCGGGAGGAATATTTCTATGGCCTACATTAATTTCTCTCGTGAGTTGGGTGTAATTTGTGGTTGTTTATGTGTGTGTTTATGGCACCCGCGACACAGGGTTTCCCTAGTATGGGGCTATGTGAGTGTGTGCGTTACGAGTGTGTGCGTTATTTCATTTCTTTTACATATGCTTATATAGGTTATGTAAGGAAAACCGCTAGTATGACTCAATTGAACTAATGTATTCATTCAATGAATTAATCGATTTGTAGTTGGCGTTACAATTGGCCATCACTAAACTGTTTATGGTTGGGTCAGTGACTTGTTTGTTTACATTTTGTTCAAAATGGATTGAAACGAAGTATATTGTTCGGAGTTCCCCAGGGTAATGTACTTGATCCCCTGCTGTTTCTATTATACATTTATGACATATGTGATTGCACGAAACATGATACAATTCTTTTTGCGGACGTGACAACCACTGATACATATCAGTGGTTGTTACTTCTCCAATATATTCAACATTGGAAGAACACAATAATGAATTATTAAAAACTTTGACATTGTTAATTCAATGGCTACAAAAAAATAATCTTCAAATAAATG